GGTGGCCCAAGCCTGTCCACTTCATGGTAGCAACGATACCGTGACAGTGAACGCTCTGGGCATTGTGCTAAACACTGCCTGCTGTTTCCAGTTAACTCTTACCCCCACAAGGGAGCTGCCCCATCCTCCCATTTCATAATGAGGAAACTGAGGCACGGGGAGCGAGGCACTTGGCCCAGAGTCACTCCGCTGAGAAATGACTGCGCTGAGATTCGAAGCCAGGCAGCCTAACTCCAAGATCTGTGTTCTAGACCAGGACACCAGACCTCCCGCTGCAGTTGATCGGTGAGTGGTCCCATCGATCCCTGTAGGAGAGAAATACGTTTCCCATTGCACACACGTGCGCATGCACGCACACCTGAAACAAAAGTTTACGGAGCAAAAATACCCTTACTACATGAGTGCACGCGATATATTTTTGGAAATTTTATTCTGTGTCATCGTAGACCACTTGGTCTGGTGTCACCTCCTCCAGGCAGCCTCGCCCTACTCCCATGGCCCCAGAGCTCTTTCCTTTCCTGCCAAGGGAAGAGAGAGTGAGGGGGGCAGAGGTGGGATCAGGAAGAGGGTGAAAACAGAGGAAGGCCCTAGTTCTTCTGGCTCCAGAGTCTCCACGGGCACCTTCTCCCCTTTTCCCACACGATGGACAGACCTGTTCCCTCTTCCCCACCTCCACTGAGGAATAAGACCCCGGCGCCAGCATCCTCATGGGCTGTCACCAAAGAGCTTTGACTCATCGGGCCCCGACAATGTATTGACAGCCTTGTAGGTTTCAGGGCTCCCAGAGGAACCATTGTCACTTTGAGAGGCTCTGCTCAGGCCTCTTGTTCAACCGGGTGGGAGGGGGCAGATGGGACAGGATAAGGCGGGCGAGCCCAGCTTAACCTCACATCGTTCCTGAGTAAAGGAGGAAGATTGGTGCAGAGAGAGGGAAACGTCACTGCTGGGGTCATCCGCACAGCCACTGTGATGGCTACAAGGAGAGGGACAAAGCCCCTGTCCTCCCCAGGGCTGAGAACGTCCAGATCCAGGGAAAAGAGTGGCTGCCAGGCCCTCGGCATATCACCACCCACTGCCAGGGAGCAGCAGACGTGACCCATGCGGTCCTCAGCCGGGGCCCTGTGGAAACCGAGTCCGAGTGGCCTGGGTAGCAGCAGGCATTTCCTGTTCTGGACACAGCATCTGCAGACTGTGCATCCAGGTGGGATGACTGGTCCCCGCCTGACCTCGGGGACATCGCCTTTGTCTTTCACCTCTCTGAGCCTCCATTTGCCTCCTTGTAAAACGGGGATAAATGGAGCCCCTAGAAAGGGTTGTTACGAGAAATTTAATAGACCATCAGAGCTTGGCACAGAGCAGAGTCGCTCCAAAGCTCCAGGATCCGGGTGAGTGAACTAACGCTAAAATGGACCAACTTAATGACTAACCCAATGGGCAGTTCGAATTCTGCCTCTCCTCCAACCTAGACTACGGTGGGACACAGAGATGCACAGGACAGAAGGGGCTGAAACATGCCGGCGGGGGAAGCAGAGCAGAGGTCCTCTCCCTCTATCCTCTCCTCTTCTCCCCTGTCCCCAGGAAGTCTGCCTTCCCCTAGCCCCACATATTTACACTTTCTTTCCCCCTTATAAAACCCAGAATAAGGCCAATGGAGTCCAGACAAAAGGCCCCTGTGGGATTAGGAATAAGACAGACCTGGGTCTTCTAAGCCCAGCTTTGCCACTGCCTAACTGGGTGAGTTGGGGCAGGTGTCTTTTAACCTCTCTGGTCCTCAGTCCCCTCAGATGGAGAAGGGCACCTTACTTTGCAGTATGAAATTGCAGCTGGAAAGAGAATGGGTGATGTACACAGCAGGAGCTTAGCAAATGCAAGTCCCAGAGTTCCCGTGCTGAGCCCTGCACACTTCTGTTTACAGGGCACCCATCTGAATCGCCGACGCCCTCTGCCAGGGCTACCCAGGGATGTCCCCGCAATCGGTCATAAAGGACATTCCCTTTCTTTGGTGTTTCCTTATTGTACACGATAGCTTGCCGGGTCGACCGTGGGGCACCCAATAAATGCTATCTGGAGGGCACTATATGTTGGAAGAGGAATGCAGGACTTTGGAGCTCAATAAACATGGAGTTCAACCCTGGTTCTGTCAACTGGATGAGGCATGTGAGCTGTGTTTTCCTTACCCGCAAGATGACGATGACAACGCCTACCTTTGCAGGGCTGGTGCAAGAATTAAATGCATTCATCCATTCGACTAATATTTACTGAACATCTACTGTGTACTAGCCACTGCTCCAGGCGCTGACTATACAGCAGTGAATAAGACAAAAATCTGTCTGTCTTATTAGGCGATAAACAGCTAACTACACACACCGCACGGCACACGGTGATCCAGGCTGAGGAGAAACACAAAGCAGGGGGGAGGGAGAGGGGTGTGCTGGGGGCGGGGGCGGGGGCAACGGCAGGATCCACAGTGGAGCAGAGACATGAAGGGAGAGGGGAGAGCCCTGCAGAGGTCTGGGGGAAGAAGGTTCCAGGCAGAGGGATCAGAAAGTGCAGGAGCCTTAAGGAGAAGCATGCTTGGCATATCAATGAAGCCACATATGCAGGAAGCCTGGCATGGAATCCAGGTGCTCAGCAAATGCCAGCTCTCTATTTCAAGTCCCATAGAAGAAACCCCACGCATGTGTCCTTTTCCTGAGAATGAAAGCACAAGGATTTCTACAGGGCAAGACTGAGCCGCGCGTTTGTTCAGCCTAAGATGCAGGCAACATGTGAGCTCCGCTGCTGGGCTTTGAGCCCCGGCCAGGCACCAGCCTCGGGGCTGCAAGACCAGCAATATAAGATGATCCAGGCATGGCCTCTGCCTTCAGGCAGCCCCAAAGTGAGCTGTGGAGACAGGTAACCACAGTGCAGTGTGGTCAGATGAACAAGCAGAGACTAAAGAAGGGATCGAGGTAGCAGAGCAAAAGATGGGACTTGAGTGTGGGTGGTCCAGAAAGGCTTCCCGGAGGAGGTGACAACTAAGCTGCATTTTGAAAGACGGACGAGACAAGAAAGGCTATTCCAGGTGTGGGGAGTATCACGGACCGAGCGCAGAGGTGTAATAAAGGGCACAGAGTGTGTGAGAAACTAATCACAGGCAGGTCAGAACACAATAAACGGCCCTTCACATTCTTGGCAGCTGCCACCTGATGTGGCTCAGGAATTCCAGTTCTGTCCCCTTCCTCAAACACAGTGCAAGCTTCGGCCCCAGTGGAGTTTGAATTGTCTACACTTAGCTACTGCAGCGAGTAACCGACCTAACTACCCGGGCCCCCAGCCCAGGGTGGCCCAGTCCGCACAGCGAGGGCTGAGTTGGATGGAGACCACATAAATCTCCAGCTATATTTAGCTCGCCTGGCCTTGTCTGTGCCTTCACCCACCCCAAACCTGACCCACAAGTGGCAGAATGGCTTTTTAATGTTTTTTATGAGAACAGCACAAGCATTTCTTAATTAAGAAATCTTACAACGGGGCCTATGCCTCCACCTGATGTCCTTTTGGCTGCGGTATTTGCCAACATCCCGGACACCTCCTGATTGGGTCAGTATGTTCTTCACCCTGCAACAGCCCTGTCAGTAGGAGGCGGAGGCCACCCTCTAGTAAACAGACCTGGGTTCGAATCCTAACTCTGCCACTAACTGTGGTGACTCCTCTCTGAGAACTTGGAGGTTTGAGTGCAGTGGCCAGAAACCTGCCCCCAGGCTTATAAAGTAGAAGGAGTTGGCTCTTCCATAAGCCAACCTTGGGAATCCAGGGTGCAGCTCCATCCATTTCAATCCCCTCCAGGGAAGAAACAATTATTGCTTCATATAACCCCAGCAGGGAGGGCTACATGGGAGTGTTAGAGCAGAGATGGAGTTATATGTCCCTCTCCTCCTAAAAACCTCATGCTAAATTTACCGACCGCTGACTGCTTCCCCACTGAGCTGAGCTTTTGTACTTTAAACATACACACACCTCTCTCACCTCTGCATAAAGGATGCTGCAAATAAATGCCCGGCCTTAAACGAAAATACTTATTCTAAAGGCTTGGGGGATGGGAGGAGGGCCGGCAGACAGACACAGTCTCAATCTAGATTCTCCCCCTACTAGTGGTGTGACCTTGGGTGAGTCATGTCCACTCCCCTGAGCCTCAATTTCTTCATTTGTATAGCTGAGATACACATTTTTACCACGCGAAGCTTCTTTGCATACTCTTTGCATATCGCACGGGGTAAGCAAAGCGCTGGGCACAGAGCCTCCGCCCCGATGATCGGTTCCCACAATTACCAGGTATTTTGTAGTAAGGCCTCCTCTGCCCCGCGACTCCCACCCCACGCCCTCCACCCCGATCCCCTTACTTTGCCTCCGGCAGTTCTGCGGTGGTTTTAACTAGGGGGCGATGCGCTCTGCAGCGGCGACTCCGAGGGGCTGGAGTCCCTAGTTGAGCGGACACCAGAGGGGGGCGCAGCCGGGGTGCGCGTGGGAACATGGCCAAACCAAAGCAGCTTATGCCGCGGGGGTGCTGGGTGGCTGGAAACTGGGGTGCCCCTGAGAGTACCCCCCCTCAGCAACTGCAGTCTCCACCCAACGGGCGGCTCTGGCCGTCCGAAGCTCTGGGGAGCCCGGCTCCAGTGATCCCCCGGGGCGCCCCAAGCTTCCTCATCAGCGCCCTCCGGCTGGAACAAAGGCGAGGGGGCGCATGGCATCGCCCCCAGAGGCCCTTTCTCGCATCTGGCCAAAGCCGAGAGAACAAGGACGGGGGTCCCCAAGGTAACCAGGACGCGGTACCCGCCTTCCTGGAGCGCAAAGCCCAGCCGCGCGGCGCACGCGGATCTGGGGTCCGGGAGGCACTGGAGACTCCAGCCCGCTGGACGCTGGGGGCTCCAAGGCGAGGGTGGCTCTCCGGAAGTCACCCAGCGGGTCCCCCAGGGAGAGGAGCACCCCAGCGCCCGCCTCCGGGGCAGGGCTCCCGGGCGTACCTGGCAGGGTCCTGTGCACGGTGTTGCCCATCGTTGCTTCAGGGCGCGGCGCTGGCGGCGGCGCGCTCGGGGCTCACCGGGGCTAATTACGCGGTGGGCCGGGGACCCGGGCCGGGGTCGGGCCGCGGGGCATCGCTGCTGCACAGTCGAGCGGGCGGGCGGCAGCTGGGGCGGGAGC